GCCGCGCCCAGGTCGGAAGCCTGCTTGGTTGTCAGGTTGGTGCTGGTCGAGTACTGGTCAGAGCCCGTTGCATAGCAGGCGGCTGAACAACTTGTAGAGCATGGGCACAATACATATCGGACGTGAGTTTTGTGGGAAAATTAGATCACCCGCCTTGGAAATGACTGTAATCACCGTCTTCCGCCAATTTGATGGAATGGGTGCGTTTGGCTTTATGACCGCGTTGTACAACTGTGGAAGGTATTTTGCAATTCTGGGCATGGGCTTTTGAGCATGTCGGCCTTGATCCATACGCTGTCGGGTGACTTTCCTGTCTGAAGTTGCGAGTTTACTGCTTCGAGCTTTTGGGCTGTGAAGGGTGGTATGTGGCTCTGGGTGTCGCTCGAGGTTGGTGGTGACGTGAGTTCTGCCGGATTTGTGCAGCTCCTCGTAGAAGGTCGCGAATACGTTTGCGATCCCTTGGCGGGCAATGTGCTTGGTGCCGTTGCTCTCATGCATCTCTGTGATCAGTGTCCGCTTTGCCTAGTTTGATCGAACTGATGCGTTTGAGGCCTCTGTGCTGCTCCAAGATAATGGGTATTTGCTGTCTCCGGTTGCTGCGTTTCTGCTGTCGGATGTGCTTTTGTATTGCTTTGCTGATCGTTGGTCGTCTGACCGTCTGTTCTTGGAATACCCTTGCGCTGGTCCACGAGGTGGGTGATGATGTCGCCACAGTTGCTGTCTGGATCGTCGCCTCTGCTGGTGTCGGTCGTCGCCGTGGAAGGTTACGTTTGCTCGGGGATCGTGCTGTGCAACATGGCAATGTGCAACCCTTGCTCGATGATGTCGTTGCGGTCGTTTGGATCAGCAAGTAGACGGTTGCCTTGTAGTTTGGATCTCAATTGCCGTCGGTATCCGTCGGGGTCAATGTGTTCTAGTTGTCGGCAGGTGGAGCGTCTGGTCGGCCTCGGGTGGTCAGACGTTTTTTTTTCGTGCTGTGCTGTAACATGTGGAAACGCATGTGTAAAAATACGGCTTTGTGGCCGGAGTTGAAGTCAACAATGTTGTTGAATTCGGAATTCCGGTATGCAGGTAGCAAGCACCTGTCCAACAACATGCAATCATTCTGCCTAGGTTGTCGCGTTTGGTAGTGTAGGTGATCAACTTTTCCGGAGGCTTGCGGTAGAATGTGTTCACGATTGCGAGCCGCTCCTTAGTAGCCCAATGTCGTAACCATTGGCCTCGGGAGTTCTCGTCGCCAGAGCCGTGGGGCTCCACGTACCGAGAGCAAGCGCCAGATCGCTGTTTTTCAAAGGCGGCATCGCCGTGCAGAGGTCCGCAGCCAACTTGACCGTTGAAGTCGGCAGCCAAGACTGTGCGGGTGCGTCGTGAGCGGGCCTCGCGGAGAAGAGCGCTGGTGGTGTCGTACAGTTGCTGCATGTGGTTGTCCGTGTAGTTACCCTGTATGTGGGAAGTATGCAGGTATAATGTAAAATCTGGTTTTCACCTTCTTGATTGTGTCAGTCGCGAATATTGCAGAGATGGCCTGACAATTACACATGTGTTTGCTCCAGCGCTTACGCATGAGAATTTCGACTCCGTGCGAACGGTTGTCGTTGCCAGACCCTCCAAAAGTACGTCCGTCAAGAATAATCCATAATTCTTGCCTCGTCGTACTCCAAATTTCGTTAATTAGGATTGCATCCCAATGCGATTCACGCAACTCATGCGATAACTCATCAATCCAGTCATTTGTTTCTAGCGGCCTCGCGTTTGTGGATGAGACCGTGAAGTCGATGACGGCTGACTGGTCGCATGTTGCTTCGTCAACTTCTGTGGTCAGACCGCCAATATGTCTTCTTGGGGGTTAGAGGGAAGGGTAAAAAAAAACGCTGGGGGCTTTTTTTTGTCCGTGTTCAACTTTTCGTGTTGCGGTTACTTACACATGATAAGCAAATACGGCAACCCAAACCAGAACAACAACGACACCGACCAACCCCAAACGAGCGACAACCGACAACCATAGCAGAAACACATCGGCGACCCCAAGCACAAAACAATCGTCAGACATGGGGGGCATAAAACAACTGCAATCTAACACAAATAGGAAACGGAGCGTACACCGAACCGAAGACGGCGCGACGGCGGTCGGGGTGCTCTCGGAGAACATGCGGGGGCGGCGTCGGACTGCGTCGTGCCGCGTCGAGCCGCGCCGTCGCGGAGACATGGGGTCGACGTGGGGTCAATTTGGGCTCCTATGGGGGGCCAGTGTGGGGTCGTCGGGGGAGCAGGGGGAGCAGGAGAAGGAGGATGAGGACGAGGAGGAGGAGGGGGGGGAGGAGGAGGAGGATGAGAAGGAGGCGGAAGTAAAGGATGAGGAGGAGAGGAGCAGGAGGAGGAGAAGGAGGATGGGAGGAAGAGGAGAAGGAGGAGGAGGAGGAGGAGGAGGAGGAGGAGGAGGAGGGAGGAAGAGGATTCCAATGAGAAGGAGAACGATAAGGATGCTGCTGGTGATGATGATGAGGAGGAGGAGAAGAAAAGAAGGGGGGAGAAGGAGGGAGGAGGAGGAGGCGGAGAAGGAGGAGGAGCAGGAGGAGGAGAAGGAGGAGCAGGAGCAGGAAGAGGAGGAGGAAAGGAGGAGGAGGAGCAGGAGGAGCAGGAGGAAGAGGAGAGGAGGAGGAGGAGGAGGAGAAGGAGGAGGAGGAGGAGGAGAATGAGGAGGAGGAGGAGGAGGAGCAGAAGGGAGGGGGAGGAGGAGCAGGGAGGAGGCTGGAAGAGGAGGGGGAGGAGGAGGAGGAGGAGGAGGAGAAGGAGGATGATGTGATGATGATGATGATGACGATGATGATTATGATGATGATGATGATGATGATGAGGAGGAGGAGGAGGAGGAGGAGGAGGAGGAGGAGGATGACGCGTAGGAGGAGGAGGAGGAAGAGGAGGAGGAGGAGGAGGAGGAGGGAGGAGGAGGAGGAGGAGGAGGAGGGAGGAGGAGGAGGAGGAGGAGGAGGAGGAGAGGAGGGAGGAGGAGGGGGAAAAAGGAAGAAAGAAGGCGGAGGAGGGAGGAGGGATGACGGAGGAGACAGAAGACGGAGGAGAAGGAGGTGGAGGAAGAGGAGGAGGAGGAGGAGAAGGAGGAGGAGGAGGAGGAAGAGGATGAGGACGCGGATTAGGAGGATGCTTCTGATGCTGATGATGATGCTGATGTTGATGATGATTGATGATGCTGATGATGCTGCTGATGATGAGGAGGAGGTGGAGGAGGAGGAGGAGGAGGATGAGGATTCGGAGGAGGAGGAGGAGGCGGAACAGAGACGGATGAGGAAGAGGAGGAGAGGAGGAAGAGGAGGAAGGAGGAATGATTGGGGAGGAGGGAGGAGGGAGGGGGAGGACGGAGGAGAGAGGAGAAGGAGGAGGAGGAGGAGGGATGAGGAGGGGGATGAGGAGGGGGAGGAGAGGAGGAGGAGGAGGAGGAGGAGGAGGAGGAGGGAGGAGGGAGGAGGATGAGGAAGGAGGAGGAGGAGGAGGATGAGGAAGGAGGAGGGAGGAGGGGGAGAGGGAGGAGGGGGAGGGGGAGGAGGGGAGGAGGAGGAGGAGGAGGTGGAGGAGGAGGAGGAGGAGGTGGAGGAGGGGAGGAGGAGGAGGGGAGACGAGGAGGGGAAGGAGGAGGAGGAGGAGGAGGAAGAGGAGGAGGAGGAGACGACGACGACGACGACGACGTCGACAACGACGACGATGACGACGAAGGAGGAACGAGGAGAAGCCTCCGCGGCACGCTTGCGGGGGGCGCCCTGGCCGCGCCGCGGGCGCACGGGCGCGCGTGGGCGCGCGCGCGCAAAGGGGCCTCCCGACTGCCTCCCGACAGCCCTCCGGGGGCCCTCCGAAGGCTTTCGGGGGGCCCTCCGCGCGCGAAGGGGGCGCTCTCGGCGCGCTCCGTGCACTCGGAGGAGATAGCGGTCTGCTGCTGGTGCTCTGCCGGGTCCTGCGCGCCCCGCGGGCGCGAGCGGGGCCCGTCGGCGGCCCGGGCAGCGGCTTGGAGGCGTCGTCGTCGTCATCGTCGTCGTCGTCGTCGGCGGAGGAGGGCTTCGTAGTGCTTCGGGGTGGGGAATCGGAAGGTTTTCGCGTGTTTCGGGGTCCTCCTCCTCCTCCTGCTCCTTGCTGGTGGTGGTGCTGCTACTGCTGCTGCTCCTCCGTTTCGTAGTCGGTCTGGCCGGGCCCTGACACAAACGGGGCTCCCGCCTGGTAGAAGAAGGAATCGAGGAGGGAGGGCTCGGGGAGGGAGGGAGAAGGATTGGGGAGGGATGGTCGCGAAGAGAGGCGCGCCGCTTCAGGTGCTCTCTCTGGCTGATAAACAACTCCTCATCCCCCTCCCGCTGCTTCTCCCGCTGCTGCTGCTGCCTCTCCACCTTCCTCTCCAACTCCTCCTCCTCCTCCTTCTCCTCCTTCTGCTGCTGCTCCTCCTCCTCCTCCCGCACCAGGCGCGGTGCAGGCCTGGGCGGTTTTGGCGCTGTTGTCCGTGGACGGCTATGAAGGATTCGTAATCGAGGACGCCTTCTTACTGGTCCCTGGCTCAGGATTCCCGCAAGTGTTCTTTCCTACGGGCATGTGGCTAACGACCCCCAAGAGAGGAAACCTGATCCAAATTTCCTTACGAAGGGTCCATTACGTAAGATTCCTTACGGAGGACCTATTTAACAAGGGTTTCTTACTCAGGCTTCCTGAATACGGACTTACGATCAAGGACTCCTCAGCAAGGACCCCCTAGTAAGAAGAGCTTACTAAGGGTTCCTTACCAAGGACTCCCTAATCTGGATTCGTTGTTGCTTATCTCTTATAAAGACTTCTCACTACAGTAAAGTTGCTTTACTAAGGATTCCATCTAATATTCCTTACGACGGATTTCCTTGTACGGGTTCCTTACGAAGAATTCTGTCTTAAGGGTTCCTGGAGGGGTCTCTTACTAAGAAGCCGCTATCAATCCATCCTTACTGAGAATTCCCTCGCCAAAATCCCTTCTCAATGACCCGGTAGCCGTTATCCAGGAGCGTCTGCCGAGACCCCACCTGCTGCTGCGGGTGCTGAGGCCGCCGGCGCTGCCGTGGTCGCATCTGCGACCACTGCTCCAGCAGCTACTGCTGCTGTGTCAGCCTCGTCTGCTGTAGGCGCAGTTTCTCCGACTTCCTGCTCCCAACGCTGCTGCCGCCAGTGATGGCTGCACCGGCTCCATCTGGCCCAGCTGGCTGGAGGAGAACGGCGGCTGCCCCTGCTGAGCCCGCTGCGCGTGCGGCGCGTGCTGGGCGTGCGGCTGCAGCGGCACCGTCTCGTGGGGTCCCGCCCCCGCCGAAGCCTACGCCGAAGAGCCGCTGGTCTGCCGCTGGGCGAGGCCCGTCGGCTGGAACTGCGGCGAACCCTCGGAATTTCCTACAGAGTTGACGGGCACGATTACGAGCTCGGACTGGCTCGGGGCCAGGGCACCGCCCGCGAAGGCGTCCATAGGGAAGACCTGCATCATCATCATCATCATCATCATCATCATCATCATCATCATCATCATCATCATCATCACCATCACCATCACCATCACCATCACCAACATCACCATCACCATCATCACCATCACCATCACCACCATGATCATCATCATCAACATCATCATCATCACCACCATCATCATCATCACCATCATCAGCATCATCATCATCGTCATCAACATCATCTTTATCACCACCATCAGCATCATCATCAGCATCATCACTACCACCACCATCATCATCATCAACATCATCACTGCCACCATCATCGTCACCATCATCACCAGCATCATCATCATCAACATCATCTTTATCACCACCATCAGCATCATCATCAGCATCATCACCATCGTCATCATCAGCAGCATCATCATCATCACCATCATCATACGCATCATTATCAGTATCACCAGCACCATCATCATCACCATCACCATCACCATCACCATCATCATCATCATCATCATCATCGTCATCATCATCATCATCACCACCACCATCATCATCATCATCATCATCATCATCATCATCATCATCATCATCATCATCATCATCATCATCATCATCATCATACACATCAACATCAGCATCATCATCTCTGCCGTTATCTTCATCAACATCACAATCATCACCATCCTCATCATTCCCAACCCTCCTATGGTTGGGTACTCGTTTTGAATCGAGCAGTGTGGTCGTCCCGTCTTCCTCCTCCTCCCCTCTCCTCTCCTCCTCCTCTCCTGTTTCCTGTGTTCCCCTCTCCTCTTCTCTCGTACTGTCGGGTTTTCGATCTGCGCAACTGTCGCCACTTTCGTGGGCTCCTGGGAGGGCCAGTGGAGGTGGGTCCCACGCGGATCACCTCGGTAGCTCGCCGCCCCCTGGGGGGCTTTCGATTTGCGCAACTCTCGCCACTTTCGTGGGCTCCTGGGAGGGCCAGCGGAGGTGGGTCCCACGCGGATCACCTCGGTACCTCGCCGCCCCCTGGGGGGCTTGCGATCTGCGCGCAACTGTCGCCACTTTCGTGGGCTCCTGGGAGGCCCAGCGGAGGTGCGTCCCACGCGGATCACCTCGGTAGCTCGCCGCCCCCTGGGGGGCTTGCGATCTGCGCAACTGTCGCCACTTTCGTGGGCTCCTGGGAGGCCCAGCGGAGGTGGGTCCCACGCGGATCACCTCGGTAGCTCGCCGCCCCCTGGGGGGCTTGCGATCTGCGCAACTGTCGCCACTTTCGTGGGCTCCTGGGAGGCCCAGCGGAGGTACGTCCCACGCGGATCACCTCGGTAGCTCGCCGCCCCCTGGGGGGCTTGCGATCTGCGCAACTGTCGCCACTTTCGTGGGCTCCTGGGAGGCCCAGCGGAGGTGGGTCCCACGCGGACCACCTCGGTAGCTCGCCGCCCCCTGGGGGGCTTTCGATCTGCGCAACTGTCGCGACTTTCGTGGGCTCCTGGGAGGCCCAGCGGAGGTACGTCCCACGCGGAACTGTCGCCACTTTCGTGGGCTCCTCGGCGGCCCAGCGGAGGTGGGTCCCACGCGGATCACCTCGGTAGCTCGCCGCCCCCTGGGGGGCTTGCGATCTGCGCAACCGTTGCCACTTTCGTGGGCTCCTAGGAGGGCCAGCGGAGGTGGGTCCCACGCGGATCACCTCGGTAGCTCGCCGCCCCCTGGGGGGCTTTCGATCTGCGCAACTGTCGCCACTTTCGTGGGCTCCTGGGAGGCCCAGCGGAGGTACGTCCCACGCGGATCACCTCGAGACCTCGCGGTGCCCTGGGGGCTGCGATCTGCGCAACTGTCGCCACTTCCGTGGGCTCCTGGGAGGCCCAGCGGAAGGTGGAATTTGACGTGGCGTGTGTGGGGCCGAGGGGCCAACATGCTTGAGCCACAATGGCTACGAGGGCTCCGTCGAGCCGTCTTGGAGCTTTCTTGGGCCGTCTTGGGGCCCTCTTGGGCTATCTTGGGGCTCTCTTGGGCCTTCTCGGGGCTTTCTAGGAGGCCTCTTGGGCCGTCTTTGGGCGACTCATGGCGCCTTCTGAGACGTCGGGGGCCGTCGTAAACCCGAAAGACAATTACTGATTTTGACCTCCTGGGGCCGTCTTGGAGGGCCCTCCTGGAGCCACCCTCGGGGCGTCTGGGAGGCAATTTGGCCCGCCGGAGGCGCCGAGTGAGCCGTCGGAAACGTCTGGAGGCCGTCTTGGGACGACGCGAGGCTGCCGTGGATCGTCCTGACGGCTGTCTGATCGCCCTCGGCGTCGATCTATGGTTCCCGAAGGGTGCGCGGGGCGCCCCGGTCTTCCCACTTGTGGTCGAGGCTCCTCGGTCGTGGGAGCCGGGGCCCCCGAGATGTGCGCGGGGAAGCCGGGCCCCCCATCTGCAGTCGGGGTCGCGGCCGGGGGTGGGCCTCCTTGGGGAACTTCTCTAGGGGCCGTGATATGTATGTTCGCGGAGACACTGAAGGCCCCATTTTTGAGCAATGCACGAGATGCTCTCACTTCCGCCTCTCTTCTGCACCGCGATGGAAATGTCGATGGCCACGGAGAAGCAGATGTAGATCACGCACACCAGGTACGGCAGCATCTTGGCGGGCACCATGGGCCCAACAAAGCCGCCCACGGCGAAGGCCAGCACGCCGAAGGCGAGGACGATCGGCAGTGTGACCCAGCCGCCGATGGGGCCCCCCGAGGAAAACGTCTCCCCAGAGGAGTCCGCCATGAGCATTCCGCCCACCCTGGCCTCGCTGCCTGCTGCACTGGAAGCCGCGTTGCCTGCGGCCTGCGTCTTCAGCTCACCGCCCTGCACGTCCAACTGCAGCGCGTAGGCGCCGTGCAGGGCGAGCAGCGCCGCAAGCACGGCCAGGGTGCGCGCCATCGTGCGGAACTTAAGATACTCGAAATGACTTCGTATGTATTACGCAAACTTGCCAACGGCAGGGACAGGAAAGCACGCTTGAGCCACCATGGCAATGGGGGGTGATGCGGGGAGCAATGGGGGCAAGAGGAAGGACGGAGGGAAGAACGACACAACGGTGCTCTTGTCAACGTCATCAATAATGACATCGTACTGGTGGATCCAAGCTTAGCCCCCCTCTTCACCCCAACGTCCACGTCCGTATCTGTGGGCGTCGCAGCGGGCGTGTTGGTGGGCAAATGTTGCGGCGCTCGCGCGCCCGTGGAGGACCACTTGCAAACATGTGGCCAACAACCGCACGGCACGTCGAAACCCACGTACAGTTACCGAACCGAACACTGGATTCTCCAACTTGCACGGCCGCCTGATTTTCAGCTCGCCGATATAATCTTCAACTCCCGCGCCATCCCGCTGGGCAGAATCCGTGGACTTCATTCGGGGTGTCTTTGATACGTGAGCCGTTGCCAGCGTGCTTTCCAAAGATTGCATTCCTGCGTTCTGGATGTACAGGGTGTGTGTGTGTGTGTATATTTGTGTATATATATATATATTTATAAGGTGACGCAAGCTCTGTGGTTCAATCTATGTGGTGCATGCTGTGGTGCAAATTATGTGGTGCAGCCAATGTGATGTATGCCATGTTGTGCAACCAATGTGGTGCAATCTGTATGGTGCAATGTTGGCCAGCATGGAACCCAAACTGTGTGATTCTAGAAGCAGGTGCTGTGCACTTGGTGTTGTACAATCGGTGTGGTGCAATTTATCTGTGTTTAGATAAGTAAACGGGTTTCTGATGTAACAAGGCTGCCGACGGCAGGGCAGCAAGCTTGAGCCACAACTCCCGTGGGAAGAGGATGAGGAGGGCAAGGATCAATAGAAGCGAAGAAGATCCACGATCGTGTTTACGCGGCAATACTGGAGGCCCATCCCTGAGTAGAGCAATCTACCACAACAGGGCTGCGCCTCAGCATGAGACGGAAGAACGAGTGGTGGCCGTCGAATGAGATGCACAAACTGCTCACTTCTTGGCTGGCGCGGTAGACAACGGGCCCTGTGTCAGGTAGGTGAAGCAGCCGCTGGCAACGATGACCGCGGACAGGCAGGAGGCCACGGAACTGCCGATGTGCGTGAAGATGGGCGAGATCATGACGACGACCGGGCCGCGCAAACAAGTGGCGATGGTCTTCATGACCGAGTCCGTGTGCTTGAGCAGGCGAGACACCAGCAGGCCCACCAAAGACTGCAAGCCGATCGTGAGCCACGTGTGGCTGTCGAAGCCGGCAAAGAAGGTGCCTGCGAGCCTGCTTGGGTCGGTGGCGGCAAGGAAGACGAGCGAGCAGGCCACGCAGAGACTATAGAGAACCATGTTCTGCACGTTGATGTCCAGAGCTTTGTTATGCTTCAACGCGAACTCGTTGGCGACGGAGCCGGCCGCGTTGCACAGTGTCATGAGCAGCACCCACATGAACATCCACGAGAACTCGCCCGATGACTTCGCAGAGAACAACTTGTTGACGACAAGCCCAAGGAAAACGATGAAGATGCCGCCCAGCCTAGTCCAGCCAAGCTCAATATTGAACACACACCTCCACATGGCAGCGGTCCAGAGGATCATGGTGTCGCGGAACACGCCGAACGCAGACATGTCGTTTTTGCCGATGGCCACGAACACGAGAATGTTGTTCGCGGTGAAGATGGCTGCAGGCATGGCCAGCCACTTGGCGTCCGAGAAACTCAGCTCAGCAGGGATCAATGCTTTACCATCGGACTTCACCGCAATGAGGTAGATGAACATGGAGATCCAGAACTTCACCGCCTCCGTCAAGAGCACTGCGCACACGGGGTTGAATGCATACCCGCCGCTGTCTCCGTGCGCGTTCCCGCCTCTCTTCTGCACCGCGATGGAAATGTCGATGGCCACGGAGAAGCAGATGTAGATCACGCACACCAGGTACGGCAGCATCTTGGCGGGCACCATGGGTCCAACAAAGCCGCCCACGGCGAAGGCCAGCACGCCGAAGGCGAGGACGATCGGCAGTGTGACCCAGCCGCCGATGGGGCCCTCCGAGGAAGACGTCTCCCCAGAGGAGTCCGCCATGAGCATTCCGCCCACCCTGGCCTCGCTGCCTGCTGCACTGGAAGCCGCGTTGCCTGCAGCCTGCGTCTTCAGCTCACCGCCCTGCACGTCCAACTGCAGCGCGTAGGCGCCGTGCAGGGCGAGCAGCGCCGCAAGCACGGCCAGGGTGCGCGCCATCGTGCGGAACTTAAGATACTCGAAATGACTTCGTAGGTATTACGTAAACCTGCCAACGGCAGGGACAGGAAAGCACGCTTGAGCCACCATGGCAATGGGGGGCGATGCGGGGAGCAATGGGGGCAAGAGGAAGGACGGAGGGAAGAACGACACAACGGTGCTCTTGTCAACGTCATCAATAATGACATCGTACTGGTGGATCCAAGCTTAGCCCCCCTCTTCACCCCAACGTCCACGTCCGTATCTGTGGGCGTCGCAGCGGGCGTGTTGGTGGGTAAATGTGGCGCTCGCGCGCCCGTGGAAGACCACTTGCAAACATGTGGCCAACAACCGCACGGCACGTCGAAACCCACGTACAGTTACCGAACCGAACACTGGATTCTCCAACTTGCACGGCCGCCTGACTTTCAGCTCGCCGATATAATCTTCAACTCCAGCGCCATCCCGCTGGGCAGAATCCGTGGACTTCATTCGGGGTGTCGTTGATACGTGAGCCGTTGCCAGCGTGCTTTCCAAACATTGCATTCCTGCGTTCTGGATGTACAGGGTGTGTGTGTGTATATGTGTGTATATATTTATAATGTGACGCACGCTCTGTGGTTCAATCTATGTGGTGCATGCTGTGGTGCAAAATATGTGGTGCAGACAATGCGATGTATGCCATGTTGTGCAAGCAGTGTGGTGCAATCTGTATGGTGCAATGTTGGCCAGCGTGGAACCCAAACTGTGTGATTCTAGAAGCAGGTGCTGTGCACTTGGTGTTGTGCAATCGGTGTGGTGCAATTATATGCCGTGCAATATCGGTGCAGCAACCTATGTGGTGCAAGCTATGTGGTGGAATTCGCCCTGCCACACTTGAAATTGTCCACCTCGCTGCGCGCGCAACCATCGTACCCACCCGCCTACAATTTGGTTTGTAAAACCCATGTGGTGGAAATTGCGGTGAGTGCTTGGCGTTGGCTGGTGCATCCCTGCGGCCGCGCTAACCCGCGGCCAACAAGCTTGGCGCGATCGACGCAAAAACGCTGGCGCTGACCACTGGGCACTTCCCACCAGCCACTTCAGTCCGAATCGGCGACTTGGGCGGGCGCAGTATCATGGCAACGTCGACATCGGTAGACACGGTGATGATGGTAACAATGCTGGTGACGATGACAACGACGACGGCACGGCCGGCGATGGCGCCGATGCTGATCACGCCGGCGACGATGACGGCGCCGTGGCGTCGGTGATGAAGGTTTTGGAGGCAGTTCGACATACGCGCGCGGCCGACGCGCGAGGGTGGCCCGCATGTTAATATTTGGCACTGATCGTGCCCCTCCCAGCACGCGGGCAAGGGCGTTCGAATGATTTCGAAATGCGGCGCGAGAGGCACGTTTGCCTGAATTTAATGAAAGTGTCGGATTAACCGATGGTTTCTTAAACATTCGCAGGAGCGCGGGCGCAAGGCTTTTTGATAACTGAGGTTGCCAAATCATTTTCCAATTTTTTAAAAGGTTTCGGGACACTCGATGTTTATATCCCTACGGAGCCTAAGGTTTTTGAGAGATTTCGACATGCGCGCGCGGCGATGCGCGCGTGCACTTCGTCTCATTTTTTTGCCGTGTTTTTGCGACAGCACGCGCGCAAAGGCGTTCGAACGATTTCGACATGCGCGCGCGAGAGGCACGCTCGGTATCATTTAATGAACACGTTGGAACCTATGGTTTCCTGAAGAATTCGCAAGCGCCCGAACGCAAGCCTGTATTCTTGTTGGGCAAATCTGTGTTTTGATACGTTTTCAGGACAATCGACTTTGAAATACTTACGGGGCCTCAAGTTTTTGAGGGATTTTGTCATGCGCGCGCGATGACGCAAGCATGTGTACTTCGTCTCATTGTCGCAGGGCTTCTTTTTAATGTAAATGAATTTTGATAAACGAATGTGCGCGTACATTTTCCGCAGATGATGAAGGGGAGGCGACGATACCGGCCTGCGTGGGACGGTCTGAATTCATATTTAGAATGGACATTGGGGCAGAACCGTACGTGCAGTGCATTACGAAGAAGGGGATCGTTAACCCCAGGGAGGGGGTATATCCTAACATTTAAAGAGAAGCTGAGTCGTGTAAGACATGTTGTACAGTCTAAGGTGCTAAACCGATGTCGTGCAAACTATGTGGTTCAATCCATTTTGGACACTCAATGTCATGCAATCGATGTTGTGCAAACTGTGCTGTGCTATATGTACATATACACATATATGGTGCAATATCGGTTGTGCAAGTTAGGTGGAGTAGAAGATTTGATGCAACCTCTGTTCGGCAACCTATGTGGTGCACTATGTGTGGAGCAAGATATATGGCGAACCCCATGTGGTGCAGCCTGTGATGTGCAGTATAGGTTGTGCACTCTATGCTGTGCAGTCTCTGTGGTGCAATCTTTGTTGTCCGTTGCATGTGGTCCAAAATAGGTTGCGCAATCTGTGTTGTGCAATCTGTATGAACCAATATAGGTTGCGCAGTGTATGGGGTGCAATGAATTTATGTTCGCAATGGGTTGTCAACTCTACTGCTCGCGCAACCATCCCACCCACCCACCCGCAACTTGGCTTCCAGCGTTGGCTGGTGCATCTCCGCTGCAGCACTCGCCCGCGCATACTCGCGCGCAAAGCGGCCAGCTCGTTTGGCGCAAGCGACGCGGCCGCGTTGGCGCTGACCGCTGGGCAATTCCCAACGGGCACTTCGATGCGAGTCGGCGGCTTGGGCGGGCGCAGTATCATGGCAACGCCGACAACGGTAGACACGGTGATGGTCGTAGCGATGCTGGCGGCGATGCGACAAAGACGGCGGCAAGGCCAATGACGGTGTCGACGCTGATCACGCCGACGGCGATGACGGTGTTCTCGCGTCGGTGATGGAGGTTTTGAAGGAAGTTCGACATGCGCGCGCGGCCGGCGCGCGAGAGTGGCCCGCGTGGTTATCCTTGTCACGGATCGTGCCCCCCCCAGCACGCGCGCAAAGGGCGTTCGAATGGTTTTTAGACATGCGGCACGAAAAACCCGTTTGGCGAACTTTCTAAGTTTAATGAGGATATTGAAAAACAGAAAATTTTCTGAAGCTTTCGCAGGAGCGCGAGCGCAAGCTTTTGCAAAACCATATGGCTGTATATGTTTTTTTTTCGGGACACTCTATTTTGAGGTATATTCTACTTATGACACTTTTACCCTCCTAATTGCCATTCCGATTCTTGTTATATGTATGTTTATGTATGTACATTCTATATATAATATATGGATTTCCGCATGCGCGCGACGACGCGCGCGTGTGCACTTCGTTTCTTTTCTTTGCAAGGGATTCTTGCGACATCATGCGCGCAAAGGCGTTCGAACGATGTCGACATGCGCGTGCGCGAGAGACACGCTTGGTAGCATTTGATGAACATGTTGGAACCTATAATCTTCTAGAGAAATTCTGCAAGAGCGCGAGCGCAAGCCTTTTTGACAGTTCATGTTGTGCAGCCATGTGTTTTCATATGTAGTCGGGACATTCGATTTTGAAGCCCACACGCAACCTAAAGTTTGGTTTGTGAACAACGTCGGCGTGCGCGCGCGACGGCGCGCGCGTGCACTTTGTCTTACTTTTTTGAAGGATTCTTGAAACTGATAATACTTGATAAACGAATGTGCGCGCATAAAACAATGTTTGCAGAAGGTGAGGGGGGATGGGGGTGATACCAATTTGGCTGGGATGATCAGAATTTAAATTTAAGATGGACGATTGGGGAAAGCGCACATGCAACTTGCAATGCGAAAGGGGGTGCCGTTAAATCGGGGGTAGATCCCATTACCTTTTTTTGGTTTGGCTTGGTATTTCTTATATCTAAGAAAAGAGAACATCTATTGTGCAATATAGGTTGTACAATCTACGTAGTGCAGGCTAGGTGGTGCAAACTATGCGGTATAGCAACACTGCAAACAATGCAACACATCGCAGAGCATCTCAAAGCAACGCAAGCACGGCAACGCAACGTACATCCATTCAAAACAATGCGTAGCAACGCATAGCAACGCAAAGCACTGCACTGCAAAGCAATGCAAGCCGTGCAAAGAAATGTAAGCCATGCAAAGCAATAGAGCAATCCGAGCACTGCAGCGAAATGCAATGCAATGCGTGCCACGGGGTGGCAATTCACGGGCGGCGACGAGGCGGCTACTTGGCAGCGTCGGCGGCCACGTAGCCGCCAGCCCGAATGCACGGCCCAGACGACGGGCGGCTACAAGGCGGCGACGGGGTGGCGACGGCGGCCACATAGCCGCCAGACCGAAGACACGGCTCAGTTCCTTCGAACATGGTAGCCAGCGTGGACCCCAAACAGTGTGTTTCTAGCAACCTAGGCTGTGCAGTTTATGCGGTGCAATCTAAACTGTAACCTCTATGTGGTGTAATTTATGCTGTGTAACCCATGTGGTGCGATCCATGCAGTTCGATATATATATATATATATATATATATATATGTGTATATCTATATATACGTGCATATTTATCTTTATCTATACATATATATATGTATATGTATTTCTACACGACACACACATATATCACCAGAGCAAAACCCAAATCAATGGATGGGTTGTGTATATATATATATATATACACGGATGTGTCTATGTATCTATATGTGTGTGCGTGTATCTGTATGTATAAGTGCTGTCCACACGCATGTATATACACATGAATAAATATACAGATCCACTCCGCATCCATCCCATTCTTTCTCTATGGTATGTGTGTGCATACATGCATATACATATACATATGTATATACCAATGTATAAATTGCGAAACATGGCACCCAAACCAAGGAACCGGGGAACCCAACCGCCAACCGAGACCAATCCGGAACCCAGAAACGGGAACCCGGAACCCCAAACGGGGAATCCAACCGCCCACCGAGACCAATCCTGAACCTGGAAACGGGAATCTGGAACCCAGAACCGGGAACCTGAGAACCCAGCCACCTACCGAAATCGGCGGCGACCTTTCGCCAAAACCAATCCAAAACCTGGAAACGGGAGCCCAGAACCCGGAAACGGGAACCTGGGAACCCGGCCGCCTACCGAAATCGGCGGTGAACTTTCGCCGACTCTTTCAATTACACTGTAAAAAACCACAATCAGTGGATGGGTTGATATATATATATATATATGTATATGTTTAT